TGTTAGCAAAAAGCATGGCATTTATTTGATTTGTGTATTAAAACTGAAAACTGAAAATGAGCACAACTGAAAATACGCAATTCTGTCTTTGTATACAGTGCGACCCCTGTTTCTATCGCAGCCTTTCAGCGCCAACATGGAAGAAAAAAATTGGCTTAAAATACATCAACTAAAATTCTTATGATACGGCTGATGCTAAAAACTTTTATTTTGGCCTCTGCCAAAAATCTATTGTAAAGATAGAGTGATCGAACGTTTCATTAAGTTTTTTGACCGCTCCTTCAAAAGTCGCTTTCCCTACATATAAAGAAATTTGGTGCGTTGTTTTTAAAATGCCGTACAAATCAGACGGGCGGTGCGTCTGTAGCGAAAGCACGGTGGATTCCTTTTTTTCTGCAGTAATTTGAAAGCCAGTTAGATTATTGCAAATGAAATTTTGGTGTGTTCAGCGACAGAGGCAAACTACAAACTACGGTGACTTCGAGACACCCAGCAGATAAGTCTAAAGGTAAAATTACGATGGTTTCTGTAAAGAGGCTGTTTTGGTGCTACTTTGTAAAACCATTCGCCGGAAAGAAGATCGGTGCAATTTTGAGCTGCTTTTCCAGTTACAGGTTGTTTTAGCGAGGCTACGGTCATGCTCCTGTAAATCGCCATCTATGTTGGTTATGCTGCCCGTCTTTTGAAGACTAGCTCATACGGTGCTACAGAGTAAGAGGTTACCAAAAACACGTCAAGCAGTATTTCTATTTATTTTTATAAGTAAAAGCTTAAGAATGTAATAGCATGAACGTTACCAATCTAAAACTCACCTTAAATAGACGGCAGAAATTTCATTGCGTTAATTTGTTAAGTCCCTCAGAATCACGTGTGATTCTACAACAGAGTAGTAGCAGTTTGGAATACTGCCAGCAGTGTAGCTTTATTCGTGTCGAGAGTCATCGAGAGAAGATGGGAATGGAACTGAGTAGAGTCCTTACTATTTATATACGTCTCTTTTCTCCTCGCATTTATATAAGTCATTTGCCGAAATTGTATTGATTTTTGCGTAGACGACTTTTAAGCACTTTTAGATACTACCAGAATCTTCTGCTTTTGTTTGTCTGTTGCCGTTTGACTGTATTTTCAGTGTCATTGCTTCCCTTCCTTTGTCATTAGAACGTCTCAATTGAAGGAATGATTATTAAGGAAGTTTTTATGGTGTCCAAGTTATAGTCGGACTTATAGTCGTTTTTCTAGTTTTCTTTAATTGGATAAATTATTTGTTTACTGTTTCGGACTTGGCATTCTTTTATCTATGTGTAACATGAAGTTATTGTAGCCATCATTTTTTGCTGCTTCTAAAGATTACAGAGAAGCACTAAATGCGTATACAAAATTAGTAGAGAAATTACGTACAAAATCATGGAGCATCGATGATTGTTTAGGTTTTGCTTTAACTGTTCGATCAGCTTTTCCTTATCTGGAGAGTACTTATCATCTTAGAGTAACAGTTATAGGTTGTTTGACTACGCCACTATAATATCACTAAAAATTTTGCCAAGCTTATCTGTATTACTTTGGTTATTATCTTTGCTGTTTACCTTAATAGTGTTAGTTGTCTGTTTGTTTACTTTTTTACCCGTTGTTATTTCTTTCTCCATAATGCAAATGAATAGCACGTTATTTGTTGAATTATAGAAAATTTGAGGATTCTGTTTTTTGTGATTAGCATTTGGAAAACTCTCTATTTTTGACGTTTACATTGGTTGATGAATATTGGTTTTTTAAGCCGTAGAGGAGATGGGAAATTTTAGATGACGTAAAAAGAAGGGCAGGTAGTAAATGTAGAAAAACGGAAGGCTTAAAAAACAAATAGTGGTATTGAAAATTACGAATGAGACAGTGGAAGCACTGTGAACTGAGGTTTTGCCAACGAGTTAAGCAGATCATTAAAAACAATTTGTAAGGCTTGCCAGGGATGACATTGCTGTCTCTTTTTATTTTTTTTCAGGCAGTGTAATGTAGATAATTTCTACTTGGGAAACAGAAGTTTATTTGGTATAAATTTTTGTTGCATAGCAGGAAGTTGAAGCTCGTAAATGTGCTGAATTTTGTGTTAGAGATATGGTCATTTTTTTAGTTCGTTTTGATGTTTAACTGCAAATGACTGTTTTGGGTGAATTGCCCATTTCGTAATTCAAAATGGGCAAGGAATGAAGACGGGACAAGGGAACGAACAAAATTTACTTTTTTTCCGACAAAAGAAAATCGAATTTTGAGTCACTACCGCACACGATAATTTTGGTTTCTCTAACTTATTTAGAAACTGCTCTGTTGTCACCACTTTGAGTCCAACTGTTGTCGACGGCTCATCTTATAAATGTGTAGGAGCGCTCTTTTTGTTTGTAACCAAAACAGATGAATAGATGGGCTTAATGTGTGTTCATCTATGTATTTGTATGTCTATACATCAA